GCGGCGCTGGGCGGTCATGTGACTGTTTTGGATCGTTCCCTCCAGCTTCTCATCAAACACCTGTTTCTGTCTCCTCCTCTCAGGGAGCAAAGATCGTCCAGTCCTTCATGTGGTACCTGAACCCGCGGCAGGTGTTCGACCTGACGAAGGGCGGGCCCAAAGAAGGGTAAGACTGCCCACTCGTATCCTGTGACCTCTGACCTCACCGCTTCAGTTAGACCAGATCGTGGGGCAATGAGGATGAACTTTGACATCGTAACGGTTTGGCATTGTAAACTCAGCTGCTGTGCTAACCTTTGACCTTTAGCGGTGGAGCATCATGTTCTGGGGAGACGTGACGACCTGAGAGAGCACAGGTAGCTCAGTGGATAGGAGGGCGGAGCCTAAATCGAACGAAGATTAACTGATGAAAACCTGTCATGTGATTCCAACACTCGGGTCTTCTGTCCTGTCGCCCTCCCCTCACGCACAGCTGGTCGCAGCAGATGGCCCCGCCCCTCCCTGAGCCTGCTGGAGGTTTCTTCCTGTTAAAAGGAGTTCTTCCTTCCCGCTGTCGCCGAGTGCTGCAGTTCATCGGGAATCATCTGATTGCTGGTTTTCTCTGCATTACTGTCGAGGCTTTAGCTACAATATAAAGTGGACTGAGTCTGTAGATAGATATGATCCTGCGCGCTCTAATCGTGTCACCACCGCTTCACCCTGAACTCAGTGACCTTAAATGTGCACAGCAGCAGATTTGTTGACCTTCATCCGTTCAGTTCATTCTAAACTGAAAAGAAACAACGCTTCAGTGTACGGTTTTGTTCTCCACCGTCCTCCCTCAGCTTCCTCCTCTGTCCTGCACTCACATTTTAAAATCTGTGTTTCCTGCAGGCTGGAGCTGTACGCCAAAGTGCCCAACCTGCGGATCCTGGCCTGCGGGGGGGACGGCACCGTGAGTCACAGACGCTTTATTCCTCACCACTATTTAACCAACAGATGATGGTTTGTCACCAGCGTGTCCGTGTGTGTGCAGGTGGGGTGGATCCTGTCTGTTTTGGATCAGCTGAAGCTCCGCCCTCAGCCTCCTGTGGCCATCCTGCCACTGGGGACTGGCAACGACCTGGCAAGGACTCTGAACTGGGGAGGGGTAAGTTAGCTCCACCACCAGCTCTGATCGTTTCCAGTTTGTTCTCATTCTTGGGCTACAGAGCAGCTTTGCATGGTTCACAGTCAGAATAATCTTTCTTTTTATGACACCTCAGTGTAGCTGCTCAGTCTGAAGCCACTTTAGCCCCTCCAG